CCTCAGGCAAGCATTCTCAGAAGTGCATGCCTTGGTGGTCTCCTGCTTGTGCTCGAGCAGTACATTTGAAACGCGCTGCATGGGGCAGGTACCGATACAATAGAACCAATGAGAGACTTCTTGATTTTAAGCAGAAGCATGTGATTGCTCGCCGTGTCATCTGTGCTGCTAAACGCACTTGCTGGCGAGACTATGTTTCCACCATCACCTCTGCTTCCTCTATGAGTGCAGTCTGGAAAAAAAGTGAGGAAATTGAGTGGTAAATACTCTCCTGACCCGGCTCCTGTTCTACGGGTCACCGGTATTGATGTAGCAAACCCTCTTGACGTTGCCATTGAAATTGGCACTCATCTGGTCCATATTTCCCGGGGGCTCCATCTATGCCCCTCGTTTCTTTCCTCAAAGTCTGCCAGAGAGTTAGTACCCTTGGACTTTTCTTCTCTCAGAGAAGAACAGTATAATGTGCCTTTTACACTTCAGGAACTGGAGGCAACACTCTCAGCTTGCCGATCATCGGCAGCTGGACCTGACGACATTCATATTCGTATGTTACAACATTTACATCAGTCAGCCCTTGTAGTCCTCTTACACCTCTTCAGTCTTATTTGGGCACTAGGAAATCTGCCACTGTTCTCCCTTTCTGCAAGCCGGGTACTACAGGACATGATGCCTCCCACTATCGTCCCATCGCTCTTACTAGTGCAGTTTGCAAAGTGATGGAACGTCTGGTAAATCGCCGTTTAATGTGGTATTTAGAGACACACAACAGTCTCTCTGCTAGTCAATATGGCTTTCGTAAGGGCCGTTCTACCATAGACCCCTTACTACGCTTGGATACGTATTTTTTGACCTTGAGAAGGCATATGACACAACTTGGAGGTATAATATTTTGGCCCAAGCCCACTCCTTAGGCCTCCGAGGCAATCTACCATCCTTCTTTAAGAACTTTTTAACTGACAGACACTTCCGTGTTCAAGTCAATAATGTGCTTTCCCCGGACTTTGTCCAAGCTGAAGGTGTCCCTCAGGGATGTGTTCTGAGCACAACACTTTTTCTCCTTGCTTTAAATGTTTTGGCTTCTGTTTTTCCCCCCCAAAATTTTTGGGTTCATCACTCAATGTTGATACTTCGCAAATTGCTTGTGCAAGCACGGGGACTCACCCTCTTTGCATTTTCCCTCTCCAGCTTTGCATTTGGGCCCGTGTTTCCACGGGGCCACCACGCAGGGGTTTTTTAAAATTTTCCAGTCCCAAAAACCCCCCCCAAAATTAAATTTTTCACTAGTTTGTTTCTGTCATCTCCGATCACCCTTTTGAAAACTCTGGGGCTCTCGTACCCCCGAACGTGTTTAAAAGTCAGGTTTTAGGCCTTCTCTCTGACCGTAGGTTATCCTGGAAACCCCTTTTACCCTGAAGGAAACTTGTCACGGGCCCGGCAAAACCCTTTCCCTTTGGCTACGCCGTATCTCTCCCAAAGCATAAAGTATTGTTTTTTTTGGGGGTCCCGGGTCATGTCGATCCCGGGCAATGAACAGGCAGACACTGCGGGCGCGGTCAGCAGTACAATGCCCCCTACCAATTTCCTTAGAGGGTTTTCCCTTTTCGGGGACTATTTTGCTGCAATAGCTACCCACCTTCACACCCTTGGCAACAACTTTGGTCACCCCCTCCCCCGGGAACAAACTTATTCTTTTAAACCGGAAAATGGGTTAGGGCCGCCCTTTTGTCTTCAGTGCCAAGGTTGGGAAAACCACTCCCCCCTTCGTTTGGGGCCACACTACCCTTACCAGGGGTTTATCTAAAGGGAGAGGACCCTTTTCCCTCTCTGTGAGAGTGCCCAAGTTCCAGTATGGGATTAGCACATTCTGTTAACTCCCCCTCTCTATCAACGAGCACGCAAAATTTACCTCCAACATCTCTTCGTTTTTATACTCTCTCTTTTTCCCCTCTTTCCTTTCCCTTTTTTTGCTGATGGACCCCCCTTTTAAAACCCCTGACTCTCCCCATTGACTTTTTAAAAAACGACTGATTTACCCCACAAACTCTGTTTGATGATACTTTTGCTTTCCCCTTTCCAGGCCCTTTTTTTATTTTCAGTCTCTTGTCCCCTTTTACCCTTTAAACCATCCACTCCCCCCGCCTGTTACCCGGGAAAACCATTATCATCCATCCCCCTTTTGCCACCTAAATTCCTCGCTTCCTTCCTGCCCGCAGCGCTGATAGCCCCTTGTCCCCTTAGGGGCTTCTTTTTTATTAAATAAAAAATAGCACTGTTAAAGCATAAAAGGGAAACAAGTGATTTCTAGTGCAAGCCCTCTGCTAATTTATTGTGCGGGAAAATATCCAGGGTTTTTAAAAGGTCAAGCCCAAAACTTTTGACGGGCCTTTAATAATTTAAGCAGGGATAACTTGGGGGCCTTGCTTGAATATTTCAAAATTTAAACCCTTTAAATTCAAGATTTACCGGGACGAGAAAGGGGCCTTGGGGTCTGGGTTCTCTTTCATTCTGATAACTGTCTGTCCCATAGTCCCCTTTTGGAAACCCAAATGTAAGGCTTTTTTTTCCCCAAACCCAAAAAGGGCGTTTTTGTTTATTTGTCACTGGATAAAGGAGCCAAGTCATTTAATCAATGACAGCCAAAGTAGATTCCGCCTAAAAAAAGAATAAATCTTTATTCTAAAAGTACATGGGGCAAGGTAACAGACCATATCTAATAAATTGACACTACTTTATAAAAAGCCGCCTTTTTAAATGCAGCGAAATTTTTCGGGCAAATTAGGTAAATTTTGCCCCCAGGATGGACCCACACCGCCCGATAAACACTGGTGGGTTTGAACATGGACAGCAGGTGTCATTTTAAGGGAAAAACTTTTTCCCTTAATGTTTCTACCCCATCCCGGGGGATCAAAACCCCAACGGCCCTCATTTGGTTTTGGGGCTGAGTGCGATACCCAATGTGCTAGTTTTTTTGAAAGAAAATGAGACTTAAAATTCAAGGCATTTATTAAAGGAAACTCTTCTTTACAAGGGGCTTTATCATTTTCAAATTAGGCTGATGAACACTGTAATAAAGATTTAAAATTTTAATAATGTCATGAACGTACCCCCAATAATTCCCCTTTCCAAAATTTTGGGGGTATTACCAAAACCATTAAAAAACTTTCCCTCTCGTTTCCTAAGACAAACCCAACAAATCAAAATTTAAATTTCTTAAGGGTTCCAACTCTCCTGCCTCTTTGAATTTTGTTTCAAAAATTGCTTGGCATAAAAATTTTCCTTTAATTTAATAATAACTTGGGTATCTTGTGTCCCCCATACGGGTTTTTGGCCCCTTTGTCTAAAAATTATATTGAAATTTTAACAGAAAAGGCTTTTTTGAAAATTTAGTTACATTAAAGCACCTTTTTTTTTTTTTTTAATTACTTACTATACCCGGGAAAAAGGTTACAGTCAAATTAAATTTTAAATTTTAATTTCCCACAACCCGTTTAATCGATGGGGAAATTTTTTTAAAACTCACTCCTTTGGAATTAAATCAAAAAATTCGAGATAAAAAACTATGAGGAAAACCCCCTCAAGGAAGGTTCCTTGATTTTGGTGGGGGGCTCTTGATTTAGGGAATTGGATCTGTGCTCCATTCCCCAAATTTAAAGTTTAATGTTTCCCAAACATCCCCCCCCCCCCAGGCGCTGTAAAATCCCCCGGGTTTTTTAGCGCTTCCCCCTTAAATTTTTAATAAAATTATGATGGAATCAGGGGAAAAGTAAAGAGAGTTTTCATGCTGACTAAAGCCCTGATCAGGGATGACCCTTTGATGCCAATAAGGGGCCCCTTGATGAAAGGGAATTTAAACCCCCCGTCCCCCCCTTTTACTTAAAGTAAACCCCTGTTTTGCCTCCCTTTTTTCCAGCTATTTTTTTCCCCTAAGGGGGTTCCTTTTTTGTTGGTGAGGGGCTTTTTGATTTGGGGAAATTTGGTTTTCTGTTCCCCATTTCCCCCGAATTAAGCCAAATCCCTTTCCCCACACCCCCCCCCCCGGCGCTGTATAACCCGCCGGGTTTAGCGCTTCCCCTTTGATTATAATACAACCCCAGGCTTGTTTGACACCTACGATTTTTAGCTCTTCCCCTAAACGGTCTGAATTAAGGAAAATTTTGAAAGATTGATCTTTCATACTTTTTTCTTCGCTCCTTAAACCCCTTTCTGTTCTTCCCCCCTCCCACCTTTACAGTTGTTTTCCCTCCCTCCCCCCCCATGCTTTAACTCCCATTCCTTCTGTTCTTCCCTCCACACCTCACTCCCCCCCCACCCCCTTTATAACAATAATAATTTTCTTTATTTACTACAATTACATATACAAGGTAAAACAACCATAGTTTCCATAAAAGCCCTTAAACATACAAAAAATCCCTTTTATCCCAGAGAAATTTGGGGGAAAAATTGGGTCAGTTGTGCCCCAGGATGCGCCCCCCCCATCCACTAACCTCGGGTCCCTTTTTTTTACTGATAGGGAACAGGGCCGGAAATTTTTATGGAACGGGGACAGGGGGTTTATGGAAACACGCCCCTAATTTTTTCCCAGGCCCCCGGGTTGGGCCAGCGTACCGGAGGAGATTCGAACCCTACCTCAACGTGGGAGTTAAAGTGCTCCCCCCCCACTCACGTCACTCCCTCACCCCCTATTGTTTTTTCCCCCCAACGTAAACCTTCCCCACCCTTGTTTTTTTCCCTTCCACCACACTTTTTTTTTCCCATTTTTCCCTCACCCCCAATTGTTTTTCCCCCCCCTTTTCACGTGTAACTATACACCTACATACGCTCGACCCACCATCATTTTTGGGCTGTGAGGGAGTGCAGTGTGGCCGCTGCTATTTTTACCCTAAAGGGTCCTCAGTTTATTGCAACATAACTGGGCTTTCCCCAGCCGCACAAATTCCCCCTGGAAACAGTTCTTAGTTATGCAGTGTGAAAAAAATTTAAGAAACCCCGGGAGAAAAAAATCAATCTAGAGACACCAAGAGGTATGTGGCGTATTTTTGTTCTACTGGGGAAACCCCTTTTTGAAAACACAAACAGGTAAACAAAACACTGCCCCTTTGTTAAACAATACTATAAAATTTAAGGTTTACTGGGGGCCCAGCTGTATAGCCCTTTGGGGCCTAGCGTTTTTTTTTGTTTAAAATAAAATTACTGTGGGCCCAATTTCCCGGGGGTTTTTAACTAAGGTTTATCTTTTTTCATAAGTACTAAATTAAGGGGTGGTCAAGTGATTAAAACTTCTACTTTTAAAAGTTGCTTATAAATTGTGGGGTTTAATTTTGGTATTTCTTAACTACAGGTTAAACGTGGTGTGTTGAAAAGGGAAAAAAAATACCGAAAGTTAATTTTTAAGACAAAAGTCCCAACAGTTGGGAAAAGTTTTTTACTGTGAAACCCAAAAATTTTAAACCCTAACCTTTTTTGAAAACATGTGTTTTATCAAGTTTGGGTAGTTATTTTTTTACTTTCTATACAATACGCTTAGTTGGGGTTTAACACCTAATGTAAGGGGGGTCTTTAAAAGGCCATTTTTTCACCTATACACACTTTTTTCAGTCCCTAAAAAAGGTTTAAAAGAAAAACTGTCGGGAAATTTAAAGGTGATAGCTTTTTGTCAAAAAACAAATTGTCTCAAGACACGAGTCTTTAAAAAATTGTTGCCCTGTTACAAATTAAGAATACAAAAGGCCTACCCCGGGCGGCCCTTTAAAACAAAAAAATAAAACCCGCAAAAACTATTTGGGGATCCTAAGAAAAGATGTTGTTTAGCTTTACGAGTGTCCAAAAGACAAAAAGTGTTTAGCGTAATAAATGTTAAAAACGAAACGTTTTTCCTCGGGACTTCGAATTAAAGGGGTTTGGGGGGCGTGCGTGTCGCCCGCCCAAAAACCGGTATGTTATTTAAAAGTAGGTTTCCGTTATTTAAGGTGGTGTAGCGCTGTATGACCCCTTTTGGGGTTTTAGGCCCCAGTTATGATGATAATGTTAATTTGAAGGAAGTAATGTTATTGAAGAAGGTTTCTGCTTTTTTTGGGCACTGTTATTTAAGGAAAAAGCTTTATTAAAGGTGATAGAAAGTAATGACTGGGGACTTAAGAAATGGGCTGGCTGGGTGGGAGGGTTTGGGGTTTAAACTGATGGTTTTTTATCTCAGGTTGTCCATTCCTCTTCCCCTTTAGCACCCCTTTTTTCTCCCCCTCCCCGCGGGCTCCTCATCCGGGGGCCCTCACTCCCCACCCTTTGATCCCTTTTCCCCCCCACCCTCAACCCCCCGTTTCCCCCACTACACACGTCACCCCTAGGCAGTAACTTTCTATTAACACGGGGGTCTCTTCGATAGAACACACGAGTGCCGTTGGTATGGGCCCTTTCGAGTTTTGCATTTAAATGGCTTTTAGCATTATTAAAATGAACATTATAAATTTTGCTAAAATTTTCAGGCTCGACAGTCCTCCAGACTTTCCCGAAATCACTCAAAAGGAGTTTAATTCCCTTTGTCATAACGAGCTTTTGTATTTCGGTTTATGCGTGATCCGAGAAAAAATATCCCCCCATACCCCGGGGCTGTTTTGGGGCCAAAATAGGGTTTTGCGCTTTTTTTTATTATTAATCCCCTTTTTTTCCCCAAGGGCCCCGTTCCCCGTGCATTAATGTACATTATTGGGAAAAGGGGCAGGTGCGGGGATAATTTTAATGCGATTAAACATTAGCGCTGTAGACTTGAAGGGTTTCACAATGGCGATCACAAGTCTTATAAAGGAAAAAAAAAAATATCCAAATTTTTGCCCAAAACTGATCAAAATTTTGAAAGGGGACCTAAAGAAACCAATAACAAAATGTATAAGCACAAATTTAAAACCCGAACCGCTCAAATGTTGCATAACAAGTCACCCGCACGGACTCAAAACCCTGACTCTGTCCATCTTTTCTATCGATTCGTCCCGCCATTAAAGGAAACCGGGTGCGTTCACCCCTCCCTAATTTTTTTCAGAGGAAAAATCTAAAACCCCTAGGAAAATTAGCGCCTGTGTAATGAGGGCATTTTAAATTCGACCCCAAACAACCCGGGGATAAGGGCCAATTTCATAGTTTAAAAGGGCCCCTCGTCGGCCCTCGAGGCAAAAATAAGGGAAAAAAAATACTGTGGGCCCCTTCGATATTAAAAAGAGGCAATTTGGGAAAAAAAGGTATAAAATTTCGACACAATGGGGAAAAAACACAAAAAGCAGTATAATGTGATCCTTTATTGACAACGTTTTCACCCACACAGTGGGGTTTTTTAAGGGCCCCACACGGATTTTATACAAAAAAACTTTTGGGCCCCCAAAAAAGAGCGAAACACCAACCAAAGCCTGGGAGTGAAAACATGTCCCGGGGATCTCCCCCTTCAAGGGCCCTAACATTGTATCAATCGCATCTCCCAAAAAATGACCGGTGGGTAATGAGAACCTTCAAAAAAAAAAGGGGGCTAAGCCCAAGAAAGACACTCTTCAGGTCACTTGTTTTTATCTAGGCTGGGAAAATTGTTTTCACCCCTAACAGAACCCTTTTAAGGCGGTGAAATTGCCGGGCCTAGAAAAATTTTACAAAAAGAAAAACCCTTTAAAGGCGCGCATAACGGAGATAAAAAACCTCAATTACTGGGAGCGCTTGAGGTTCCTAAACCTGTATTCCTTTTGGGGGCGCCCGGAGGGAAGAGATCATGAAAATTTTATACACCGGGAAAAACCTTTAAAAGGGGCTAGTACCCAACTTGCACACCCAAAGTCACTCCCTACGAAAAACAAAAGACTTGGCAGGGCGATGAAAAAACCCCCCAATTTAAAAAAGGGGGGTCACCCAGCACGTTAAGGACCATACAATAAGTGTCAGGGGGCCCCAGACTGTTCAACTGCCCCCCCAACCCCACAAAAGGGGGATTACCAACAGAAACCCCCGGCCCGTCTTTTAAGGGTTTGGGATGGGAAAAAACCCAAAATCAGTTCCGGGTAGCCCGGGGTGTGGTCGTAAAGTTGGGTTTTCGGCAGCCAGCAGCAACAGCCTGGGGTTTATCAGGGTCCCGATCCCCCCAGGGGGCCTGGTCACCCAAACCGGGGCGGGGGGTGCGTTGGGTCCCCCAAAACCCTCTCTAGGTATAAAAAAAGGAAACGAATTCTTGGGTTATAACAAGAAGTTTAAAAAGGGTTATTTAGAAAAACACTTTAAACAAACATGAGGGGCATATTTTTTAAAAAAAGTTTTGGGCCTGGGACCCTTTATTACTTCTAACAAACAGAGGTTTTAAAACATTTATATTTGGTGGAGAGTGAGGTGGGGGTGACGATGGTGACCTGAAAAAATGACTATTGGGGTGGGGGGACGGGTAGATGGGTAGATCATGTGACTCCTTTTTTTGCTTTTCTGTTTTTCCTTAAACCCGCGTGTTGGTATTTATTACCCAAAGGTTTTTACCATATTTAAAAGGAAACCTAAGGTTATTTTTCAATTCTATATATCTTTTGGTTTTGGCCCATTTAGATTATCCTTTCCCATTTTGGTTTAAAACCCTATTAAAAAGAATTTGGGTATAAATGCTCTGGAAAAAAGTACAAAAAAAGATGACAATGTTGATCCCATGTATCAGAAATCTTCCCTATGAGGATAAAATGAAGACCCCGAAAACTGCGCTTTTCTAGAAAGGCGTAGAATTAGGGGGGGTATGGGTTTAGGGGTATAAATGGGAAACAAAAAATAGAGGGGATGTAAAATAACGTTTCCAAAAGTATCTTATCAAGACAGGACTGCAGCAAAATTTTTTCAGGGTTTGGGAAAAAATTTGATTTGGGAAAAGGGTACGGGAAATGCAGAAGCTGCTATAGGGGGGGAAATTCATAAGGGGTTAGATATGAAAAAGGGGTGTTAAAGGGAGATTTTTAAAATTTTAAAAAAATGATTAAACAAAGTGACCCGGGAAAACTTGAGGGCTAGTGACTTCTTTATGCAGTTCAGGATTGCTTTTGAAAAAAATTTTTGACAGAAAAACCAAAATAAGAGAAACAACCTGCTTGACTTGGTTCTCCCCCCCAAGGAAAAGGGTTTCCCCTTTATGTTGGTGGGGGGGCCCTTTATTTAGGGAATTGGATCTGTGGGTCCAGTTCCCCCCCAATTAAACCTGAATGCCTTCCCACTCCCCCCCCCAAAACGCTGTAAAAATTTCCCCCGGGTTTTGCGCTTCCCCCTTGATTATAATTTAAAAATTGATTGGGTTTTTGCCAAAAAGAATCAACTAAAATTAAAAAAACTGAGGTTAAAAGATGAGCTTTTGGAAAAAACAATCACAAAACACTTAGTTTCATATATGGAAATATAAAACAAATGCAGTATAATGGGGTTCCCTTTTTTGCAACGTTTTACCCACACAGTGGGCTTTTTTTTAAATTCACAGACTACCTGGGGTGGAAGGTTTTTGGGGTATTTTTTCAAAAGGGCTGCCGCATTCCCGAGGGGCTCAAAAAAGGGGAAAAAAACTTCTGCACACCAAAAACCCCAAACAACCCCCGACCTGCCAGAATGAAAGGGCCCGCCAAAAAAATCACAAAACCCGGTATCCCCCTGAGGGCCCCTATCCTCGGGAAAAGGCAAAAGGGTCCCCACCAGCTTTTCGGAATTCTGCAAAACACCTCTTTTAAAAATCTTTGGCACTATCTCCAGCAATCTCAAACACCCCGGGTGATCTTCTTTAATCGCTTTTGCAAAAATCAACATCAGGAACAAGAAACTTTCCGCCATTGACGTGACTTTTCCCCATTCACCCCAAAATACCTTTCTACCCCAAAACCAAACGAACTCTTTCGCAGGGGAAAAATTACCCATTCACTTGATCTTCCCCCCTTTTTAGCCCCGCGATTTCATCGACCCTTTTTGAAACCCAGTGTTTGGTTTTTCGTGTTTCCTTTCGAAAAAACACCTCTTTTAGCAGACTTTGGGGTACCATTTTGGTTGC